GAGAAAGGAATCAGAAAAGGAAGCAGGAATGAAGGCCGTACCGTTTCTGGCGTGTGCATTTGTTGTGTAAAAACCATTCCTGACCGGGAGGCGACCCGTCAGCAGCGCTGCCCGTGCTGCAGAAACAAACACAAGTCATTCCATGGCAGGTGCACCGTGTGCTCACACCCAGCATTACCACGTTCAGGCTGAGGACAGCATGATGACCAAAGCACGTTGGTGTTCAGGCACAGCCAGTTACTGGGGTCAGCCACATTTGGAGCAATCCTCTCCTCACTGGGCCATGCAGATAGCCACGTTTCTATGCAACACCATTAGAGCTACTCCAGGTCAAGCTTGATTAAAACGTGGCCCCTCTATTAAGATAGTTTACCCACTGCTGAAAAGCTATTCATTCCAACAGTAAGCACAGCAGCCCTCCTATCTCAGCAATTACAGAAGGAATACCTGGCATTGGTATTTAAGAGGAAATCCTACCACAAACTCAGCTTAAGGCTAAGCCTGGACAAAAGTCATAAACAGTAAACTAAAAGAAACTGCCCAGCTTTGGCAATAAAAGCCAGGTCCTGACTCAGGGAACATTTAAATAGATGTTTAAACACGTGCTGAAGTACCACTGGACTTAGTGAGACTTTGCTGTATTCTAAGTGCCTCTTCTGAGAAAGGACAGCCATGAGCACACTGACAAATGATTTCCTAAAGGAGAATCCAAACAGAGAGGCCCTGTTCCTCATTTCTGTTTCAGTTCTTGTCTGCTAGTAAAGCTGGGGGGGAATTGCATAGAAAACAAACAAGAAGGATTATAAATAAATAACCTTTCTCACTCAAACTCCAATGTTTCTCTCCTGTCTCTTCCCCAGTAACCGTGCTGGACATCAGGGTCAGCAAGGGGATGCAGGACACAGCATGCTGCCATTCCTTGCACAAAAGTCTCACCCAACCCAGTGGAATCAGACAAACTGCACACTTCTTTTGTTCAGCAGCAATTTAGATACTGCTTCGCCTGCTTGCCCCAAAATAAGAACAAAAATGAGTCTAGAATGCTAAACCAGAATACTTTATGAAGTCCTTTAGCTGAACTGATCTGAACACTAAAATACAGCTTTGAAAGAACTTAAGACTGAAGGGTTTGCAATCAAAACATAAATAAAAAGGAAGCAACAGATAAGATCAAAGCAACAAATCTAAACTCTGCCCTGAGGGTAATCACTGGTTTGGTTGCTAGCTCATGTCAGATGCTGGCACACATCCCAATCTCAGAAGGTGGCGTTCTTATGTGCTAGTTTAAAGCTCAGGTTTACTTACATGGGGAACAGAGGGGGCTGGCAGCATAAAAATCCAGGAAAAGCATCCCTTCTGCAGCCATCTGGTCTAGGTTAGGAGTTTCCTTAGAAGGCTCTCCAAAAGCTCCCAAATCACCCCAACCCATCTGCAAGAAGAACACACCGCAAGACGTGAAAGTACTTCTACCCTTCCACAGATGACAATGCTGCTGGGCTCACATAAAACTTTTGTTTTTATCCCTTCCTTCCTAAACCTTTATAGAGCTCATCTCCCTGCTCAGGGAGCACTTCACAGCCGTGATAAAACTGATCCTCGCCAGCCCTGCGAAGCTGGGAACTATCACAGCTTCCACTGAAAATGAGAAACTGAGGCACACACGGGGTGAAACGACTTGCTTGTGATCAAGAGGACATGAAAACACTTGTAGCAGAAGGAGGTCAGGAGCCCTCATGTCTTCACTCTCACTTCAGAGCCTGGAGACTGGCAAGCACACACATAGCAGGGAGGACATCACACAGCATGCACTCAGTGCTGGTACACAGCTGCAAGCCAAGCTGTCCAGCCCTCGGCTGAGCATCTTTGACCCCTGCATCTCAGTCTGCTCCATCTATGCACACACAACTATTAAGGCAAAGAAAAGGTCTGAATTCAAAAGCAGAAACCAGTGCTGCAGGAAAATGTTTGTTTTAAAAGCAAGCTCTGAAGGGAAACCTGCCAGAGGCATCATATGTCAGCCTGCTTATTTGCAATGGGGGTTTGGGTCTGTGCCTTCCTCCCTGCACAGTGGGGCTGCAAAGTCCCCATCCAGGAGAGCTGTAAAATTACCGTCATGCTGTCTGCGTTCACTGCTGAAAACTATTACTGGTAATAACACAAATAAAAGTGACTTAAAACAGAAGGTTCTGGAAGGGAACAACTTAATGAGCAATTAGGCGCCGTGGTTGCTAGAGATTATATAGTGCTTTAAAAAAGGCAATAGCTTTCTCTAATACAGATGTGTATCAGGTGAGCAACTAATACAGAGGGCGTAATGCATCTCCATCCTTAGAAAGCCATCTGTCTGGTCCCACCTGAGAGTCTGCCATTCACACTGCAGCAGTGTGGTTTGGAAAAGGGAAGCGTTGGAGAGCTGCAGAGCAGGCTGCTGAACTCTCAGCAAAGAGCAATTAAACGGCCCCACCAAACACCAGGGTGTGGGGCTGAAATGGACTCAGCAGATCAGCCCCCAGTCCAACACTGTCTCTACCATCACGAAAGAAAGAAGAATGCTGAGTTGCTCTGACTCACACACAGGGACACAGAAGTAGCCAAAGGATCAAAGGAAAAAAAACACAACAACAGAGATGCATTTGTAATGAACAGCAGATAAATAAACCAACAGTTCACAGAAACTCCAGTCAGGATCTGTGCCTCGCTGCATCTTCTGCTGCACCAACACTTCCAGAACGGGATCACTGCTGTCCCACACAGCTTCCATTTGAACATTACAAATCCCTGCTTGGGGGGAAATACTCCTGAATGGAAAATTAAGATAGACTGCCAGTGGCTAAACTGGCCATTAAAAAAGTAATCATTTCATACAAGAGCACGGAAACGCTAGAACAATGGCAAGACAGGCAGGTTGAAGAGGGAGAAGGAAGCCCAGCAGGCTTTGAGTCACATCATACCCACCCTCAGCAGCTTTCTGAGGAGCCTAGCACAGCACACAATGCACTTCTATCCAAGCACATCTGAAGGATGACAGGAAAGGAAGAGGAGAAGCAAAGCAGGACGATGGCAGCAACTCAAGCCTGCACTGAGAACAAATGCACTTCTGTATCTGTGATTTACTGAGCCCGGGGTCATATCTGCTGTTTAACGACTTGAGTTTTCTTTCTATTCAGCTCTTCAGGAGGAACATTTGAGTTTCTAAAACATTTCCTTCAAGGTATCAGAGTCTGCCTATGCTTGAGGCTGCACCTTACTCGGTGCTGCTGGCCTCTGCATCCATCTCTGGTAGTGGAAGGTACACACAATTATTTGTGTAGGTTAGAAAGCCAAGCCTTTACTTAGCAATAATTCCATCAGTGCTGGGAGAAACCAAAAACATCCCACCTTCCAACACTTACCAGTTAATGAATGTGCTCTTCTTCCAAGGATAGTGGAGTTAATCACTCAGTCATTAGGAACAAGCTGATAAGGTGACTAGCTTCTAGATAACGTGGCATGTGTGTAAGCGCCACTTCCAAAATACCTATACTCAGGCTTGACATTATAGACCTGAGAAGTCTCATTTGTTTTCAGCAGGAAATCCACAAATAAGGAACAAAGAAAAACCTGCAAATTGTTTCCACTTTTACAGAAAATCTCAAAAGGACTGGAATCATAGAATCACAGAATCATAGAATGGCCTGGGTTGCAAAGGAGCACAGTGCTCATCCAGTTCCAACCCCCTGCTGTGTGCAGGTCACCAACCAGCAGCCCAGGCTGCCCAGAGCCACATCCAGCCTGGCCTTGAATGCCTGCAGGGATGGGGCATCCACAGCCTCCTTGGGCAACCTGTGCCAGTGCCTCACCACCCTCTGGCTGAAAAACTTCCTCCTAAAATCTAACATAAACCTCCCCTGTCTCACTTTAAAACCATTCCCTTGTCCTACCAAGGGCTATTTTCCTTGAAAAAGAAATCAACTCCCTGTGAGTTACTGTGAGAGCTCTCACAGTAAGTAGTCACAAACTTCACTCAAACTTTTCCAGACCATCACACCAACCCCCAAGCAGTGCCTGATTCACTGTGCCCAAGGCCTCTGACCACGAGTCATGACACAGCCCCTACCCACGTGCTGTCCCACACGCGCTGCTCAAGTGACAGAGGGAATAGATGCAGCAAACAGCTGGACCTGGAGGTTCACCTGGGACCACATGCAGACCTGGATACAAAACGACCTCATTTTGCATGCACTGGGGAGAGACCTGCTCTGAAGTAGTGGCCAGACAGAACATCAGGAAGCAAACAGTTCACAAGGTCACTGAGGTTGGAAAATACTGCTAAGCTCATCCAGCCCAACCCCAGCCCACCACCACACCCGCTAAACGTGCAAGGTGCTCTCAAAACACAAATCCCATCCGTCCCATTCACAGCCCTTTATAAATGCTTGAAGAGAATATCCAGAACCAGCCAGCAGCAGGGTGAAGGCGCCAACCTGCTGAACCTGTTCAAAAACCCCAACCTTGTATCACAGGACACACACGAGCAAGCTGGGGCTCAGCCCACAGCCCTGCCGAACTCCTGAGCCTCCCAACCCAATTCCCCAGAGACCAGAGGGAATCTGAGGGCTCCTGAGGGCCCCACCCTCCACCAACCGAGACTCACAGCCTGCCCAGCAGGGCCCTGCTCACCCCGCAGCTTCTCCCTGCTGCTCCCTGTCCCCTCACTGCCACCCCCAGCACCACAGCCGCTCTGCCCCACGCGCCGCCCAGCCCAGCAGGCCCACAGTAGGCCCCTGCTGGGTGACACCAGCCTCATGGGATGATGGGACATATGGAACGTCCGCCAGGCCCAGGTGCCCCCCCAGGCGTCCCAGCCCGCACTCACGTCGTCCATCAGCAGCAGCACCACGTTGGGCGGCGCGGCGCAGCCCACGGCCCAGCACAGCCACAGCGGCACCAGCACCGCTCTCGCCATGGCAACCGCCGCCATGCGCGCCGGCAGCACCTCACGTGACCGCGTCACGTGATCGCTTCCCTCTCTCTCTCTCTCTCTCCCCCCCCCCTCCCCCGGCACGTGATACAGGCGGAAAGGAGGCGGGGACAAGATGGCGGTGTGCATCGCCGTGATCGCCAAGGAGGTGGGGGCGAGGCCGGGACCGCGTGAGGGGTCCTGGGGGGGGTGGAGGGGAACAAGGTGCGGGTAAAGGGGCGTGCGCAGGGCGGGGACTCGGGCTGGCGTTGTGGGTCAGGAGCAAGGGTGAGAGGGGCGGGCAGAGACACGGGGGAGGGGAGGACCCTGGAGAGAGATGGCCCCAGATCCGCTGCTGGGACAGGGGCTTTCCTGCAGGGCCGTGGGGACAGACCCAAGTAAAAGGGAGATCTGATGTGGGAGTGCTGTGGGTGCTGTCTGTGCAAGTGTGCAGCTGCGTATGGAGACAGGTCTGTTCTGCAGGTGCTGTGGGAGGTAAAAGGGGCGGGCTGGCTTTGGGTGCAAGACAGGATTAATGTGAAAGCACTCCAGTAGTGTTAGCCATTGATTACAGGAGCAGAATCTGTCCACATTGGCATGATTTGTCACTGTCCACAGAACTACCCCCTCTACATCCGGAGTGTTCCCACAGAAAATGAGCTCAAGTTCCACTACACTGTGCACACTTCCCTGGATGTCGTGGATGAGAAGATCTCTGCCATGGGCAAGGCTATGGTAGATCAGAGGGAGCTCTATTTAGGGCTCCTCTACCCAACTGAAGACTACAAAGTGTATCTTTGTAATGTCTCAGAGGTGTGGTCACCCTGCAATCACATCTTCGCAGGTGTTGGTATTTGACATCCACTACAATTGTATCCAAGTGTATTTAATAACCTTCCTTGCAAGGGGCTCTGTATGGGAAACCCCTCTTCCCACTTGGTGCCACATTAAAGTCATTAGCAGAAGAAGCACAGACTTGTTTGCAACCCAGTTTATCACACAAAGGATTGGGTTCAGTCCCTTGTTCAGTTCAGCAGCTGTCCCAATGTTTTTGAGTCACAGAGTTGACCTTCTGAGCATTGTCTGGCTTTTTGTCTGAATCCTGCACATGGAGGTCATCTGCTCTAACAGACCTGATTTCTGGGTTTTCATAAACCGGTCATTGATTTTTGGAGTTCCAGATCACAATGATATTAGAGGATCTCCAGGTCTCTGACTGCAGCCTGCCAAATGACAATAGATGAGGTGGGTCATTGAAACAGCTCTTAAGAAGAAACCCAAAGCAGCTAATGGGAGACTGCTTCTGAAGTGCAAGGCATGCATTGCTGGCCAGAACAGGAGCGAGCTTGATCTGGAGTTACCAAAAGTGGCAGCATCAGGGAGAAGGGGGAGCAACCTGATGTCTCTTACCTCATCTAGTTCTAGTTACGTGCTGAGTGCAGTAAGAACACAGTATTTTCTCAGCTTTTTTGTTTGTGTGCGTTCCAGCCTTGTTTGAGTTGCTTTGCTGGCCTCCATAACACGTTCCTTAACAGCTGCACAGATATGGCTACGTGACAAACTCGAAGGTGAAGTTTGTCATGGTGGTGGATTCTTCAAACACAGCACTTCGGGACAACGAGATCCGCAGTGTAAGTGCAGGAAGTCAGCACCATTTGCTACATCAGTGTTCCTTCTGCTTCTGCTGATTCGTAAGGTGCTGAGAAGCAAAAAGAGATTAATTAAACCACAATCCCTTTTCAGATGTTCCGAAAGCTGCATAATTCCTACACAGACATAATGTGCAACCCCTTTTATAACCCAGGAGACCGTATCCATTCCAGGTGAGTGGACTGAGCACCTTTGTCATCTTTCTGGGACTTGCATCTGCGATGCAGCAGGACCAGGCATGGAATCCCTGTGCTTGGCCAGTTCAGATCTACGTGCTGTAACCCCTTAGATGGAAAACAGCTGTGTTGTCTTTGGGTCATTACCACATAGCTGGAAACTCTCCATAGCCCCTTGAGAAGTTCAATTGAACTCTCTCTCCCCCACCTCAGCACTGGTGTTAGAAACCTTGATTCAGGAAAGAGGAGTCTTTGGGATAGAAGAAATTCCCTGCAGGTACGTAGAGAGGTTACACAGAACAAACAACTGCAGTTGCCCAGGGTTTCTCCTTGAATAAGGATCCTCACCGCACACAACTCCTCTTGTGAGGGCTACTGCTCTCTACTTCTAAACTCAAATTTCCCAGGAAACGTGAATAATGTGAATTGCTATTGCCTAGGCAAGAAAACTTGGCCAGGAGAAGACCTGTCCTTACTTCAGCTTAATTAAAGCCATTATTCACTCAAAAGAACATGCTGTAGCTAGAGTGAAACCATGCATTCAGCCTGAGGAAAGCCAGCTCATTAGCCAATAAGAAGCACTGCTAGCTACTGGTATTGTTTAGAGATGTGGTGTGCAGAACTAGCAGCTTCCTTTAATGCTGTGTTATTTCCTTCCCTAGGGCTTTTGATAACATGGTGAACTCCATGATGATGCAGGTGTGCTGAGGCTCTGCCCAGTCTGATCCAGGCATTGAGAACATTCCCTGTGTGCAGGAGTGTGCCTACAGCATGATGTATATATTGGTTTCATTGTGTAATATTTTCAGTCTATGTAAAATAAACCTGACACCTGCAAGCTCTGCATGTGCCTCTATTCCTGCAAACCTTACACAGCACAGAAGTCCCTGTTCTGCTTCTCTCCAGCCTTCAGATAGCATGCAAGAGCTCTTCCTTCAGGAAGGTCAGCAGCATCAGATGAGCTTTGTTCCCTGCAGAAAAGCACGCAGCTGTGCTCCTCTGCAGCTCAGATGCTTCTGTAGAAAACAGGCTTTGTGGAAAGACAGCAGTTCCCACTGTGCTTGTGATTAGAGTGAGCACAGCTGCACAAGAGACAGCTAAGAGATGATTATTATTAGGGTCAGCCCAGATTTCAGTCAGCTGAGAGGCACAGATAGTGACACTGCTCCTCACAAGTGCTGGTGCTTGAGAGCATTTCCTCTGATGCAAAGGAGCACAGCAGCAGCAGCAGCAGCAGCCCCTTTGCTGTTTGCCAGCCCCCTTTGCTTCTGCGTCAGGAATGTGAGAAGCAATGCTTGTTTCAAACATACTTGGTCTCCTTACCCTGTTTTTCCTTACTGGGAAAGCTCAGATCTATGTGTACTTACTCCAGTAGGTCTTGGAAAGAGAAAACAGCACAAGCCAGCTGAAGGCTCCAGGTCTCTGCAACCACAGCCAGTGCTGACGTACTTGAGAACACTGGCAGACAGCGAACAGCTGGCCCCAAACAGCACCTTGAACCTGCTCGAGTCCTGCACTCGTCTTGCCTTCCGAGGCAGATGCAGAGGTGACTGGGATTTGACAGTATTTGCTATTAAAGCTTTGCAGCTCACTGAAACAGGGTTGGTGCACACAGCAGTATTTGTGGTGCAGGTCAGGGAGCACAGGTAGCGCAGCTGGGATAAATCCGTGCCAGGAGATTAAGACATCAGGATTGCACAGCTGCCTGCCTCATCCCAAACTAATCTATTAGCATCTCCTCCCCCTGCGGCTCCAAGCTGTCCTCATTAAAGAGTACCAAACCAAGAGCAGCTATTTCTATATAAAAGACTAGAAAAGCACCTGGCCAGTTAGAAATGCAAGGGGGGAAAAAAAAAACCCAACAGTTCCAAGAGACACAGGAAACCTGGAGAGAGCCAGGTCAGTGCAGAGCATCAGCACACAGCCAGCACGGTCTCACTGCAGATGAAGTTCACACAGCAGGATCATTTATTTTAAAAATAAGTGACATTTACATTACCTTCTCAGACAGAACTCAAATACATTTAATCAACAAGAAGCTGTCAAATAAGGAGATGAAAGCATCTGAGCCTCTCCCACCATCTAAACAAGGCACAGCTGTACACTGCTATGCTGAAAGTTTCCTATAAAAGTCTTCACTCCTCTCACTCACAGAGACAAGAGTTCTGCATTTCCTATCCCTCAACTCAGCACAAAGCAATCCAGACACTCCAAAGTAGTTTTTATTAAAAATTAAGCCTCTCTAATTGACAAAGCTACTAAAGGAAAGCTCAGAGCCCTTGCAGAAGCCAGTTTTGTAGCCTGAGCCCAAGGGTCTCTCAGACAGGGAAACCAAGGCCAGCCTCAGCAGCACAGCCCACGCTGGACAAAGTGCAAAACCAACACAAGAGGTAAGGCCCCGAGCTTTAAAATATACATCTATATATCCTGAAGTCCTAAGGAAAACAAAACTCAGTGGGATTTTTAGTCTGGCAGTGCCCCGAGCTGTGAAAAGCTGCTTTAGGAGCCAGTTCATCTGGGCGAAAAGAATCCTAACCAAGGATCCTGAAAGATCAGCGTGAGAATCACATAATAAAACAGATTGCAGTGCAGATCTTCACAGTTGCGATGGTGGTCTCCCAGCCTGCCTTCTTTAACACAAAGCCTTCCCTTTAAAAACAAGCCCTAAGATAAGGAGATGGCTCCTGGGATGCCAACAGAGCAGATCCAGTCTCCCCCCTCGCGCCCAGCTCCAGCTGCACAGCACTCAGCTGCCACCAGTAATCCTCAGGGCAGCAGATGGCATTTTAAAATTAATCTTTTTTTTTTTTTTTTTTTTGGCTCGGGTAGGCATTTTTTTGTTTGTTTGTTTTTAAATCTCTCCAATCCCATCTCTTCGGTCCCATCGGCACCTCCAGGGCAGCGCAGTCTTCCTTTCTAATACGGGAAATACCAAGGCAGCAGCCTGGCCCGACCCCTAGGCAAGAACAGAACCACGCTGGAGCTCGGGGGCATTGCTCAGCACCAGGCATCAGCAGCCTGAAAGCACAGCCACCCGCTCAGCCCCACCAGCCAAACGCAGCACCTCTCACCTGTATGTCCTCCCCCGCAGCCTCAGGGGCTGTCCCCCATAGTACCCCCAGCGTGGGATCAGCCCTCCCCGGCCTTGGAAGCGGCCCCGGCGGCCGCCACGGTCGGTGCTGCTGATGCCAGGCATGTTGGTCCTCTTGGGCAGCACCTGGAAGGCAGTGGGGGCTCAGCACCAGCTCTGCGTTGTAGGGGCTGGGATGGATGGATGGATGTGGTCCGGGGCTTTGCCCAGCTCTGACCTTAATGACACGGCCCCTGAATATGCTCTCGTCCAACTCCACCGCCGCCTTCACAGAGCTCTTCTGCTCAAACTCAATGTATGCATACCTTCAAAGAACAGGGAGCAAAGCACTGGGGATGCTGCCAGCGCCAGGGACAGCAGCATCCCCCCCCCAAGGCACAGCCAGCCCCCACAGTGGACAATAAATCCCTGCCTTTGCAAACACTCAAGCCATGCCTTGCCTTTTTTTTTTTTTTTTTTATAAAGGAAGCAAAAGCTCTGTTCCTACAGTGTCACAGGATGCACCCAGCACTGACCCTTTGGGATGCCCTGAGAACTTGTCACAGAGGATGGTCACACGGTTGATCCGGCCACAGCTGTTGAAGTGAGATTCCAGCTCCTCTGCCGTTCCCCCGTAGTCCACCTGCAGCCACAGCCCTCGTGTTCCATCGGGTTTGGGAGCAGCCAAGCCTCTTGCAGGGCAGTGGCCAGGTCCCCTTGCTGGGGATCACGGCACACATCTGCCAGACGAGGAGCAGCAGGCTGGGCTCTGTTCCACAGCCTTCACTTACATTGCCCACATAGATGGACCGTTGGTCAACCTCCACCTTCCCCTCGGTCGTCCTCTGGAACAGACCTGCAAAGATGGAAGCTGTGCTGTCCCAGAGGAGCCCTGCAGAGGGTGAGAGGCTGGGCATCCCCAGCCCCACACTTCAGCCTCCTCCTCCACCTGTTGCCCCATCTCTCTCTGCATAAGAATAACACAAGGCAATTTCTTCACAGCACCTGAAGGCGCTCAACTCAATTACCTCATTGAAATTAATTAATCTACTGCATCTCAACTTGCAAAGGTGGGAGGTGGATAAAACACGTGACAGCAGCGTGCTGTGCCTGGCACCCTCTCCCTCCCCCATGTCAGCTGCCTGGTCCCAGCTGGTGTGGGGCTGCCCATAGGGGCACAGCAGTACGCCTCAGCCCCACTGACACCCCACGACCCTGGGGAGCACAGCAGAACCCAGGGACAGCCCATACCTGCCTCTGAGCCCATGAGGAGGCAGTTCTCAGCCTCCAGCTGCAGCTCCTTCAGCCTCTTATCCTCCTCCTCCATCTCCCGCACTCTGGCTTTGATGGCCTCCAGCTCCTGGAACTCAAACCACAGCTTGTGCAAGCAGCACGTGCTACAGACCCACTCCCCACCTTGTGCTGAAGCAATGGGCTCCCAGGCTAGGGACAGGGGACAACAGCCTCAAGTAAAGGGAGTTCAGCTCTCAGCTCCACTAGTGAGAAAAACATTTCCTTCCTTGTGCTTGCCCACAAAGCAGTGCTGCAGCAGAGGTGTCCCAGAAGCAGAAATGCCAGAGAGAACCAGAGATTGAAGCTAGTGGTGAGCAGGAGCTACTGACTGCAGCCCAGCCAAGCAGACATCTGAACAGGGAAAGGCAAACAGCAGGAGAGTGACTATTCAATTTCCTGCTTCTCAGCTCAGGGATTTTAACAACAGGAGCCCAAAAATCACTCTTAATTTTCTGAAGCACTTAAAGAGAGATGTAGGAGGCTTCCTATTTCCTTATAGAAAAGGGGAAAACTGATCCTACATTCAGCCAGACACTCACAGGGTCCTGCACACCCAGCTCCTCCAAGCTGTCCTCCTCCGGTTGGCTGTGGTCTGAGCCATCATCCGCAGCCTTCTGCAGAGCTGCCACCTCCGGCACGTCCCAGGACGCCTCCCCTGCTGCTATGGATGCTGGGTCCTGCCACCAGATCCCAGAAGAGTCCAAGAAGAGAGGACTGGGCAAAACAGGGTGAGAAGTAACTCAACAAAGCCATTTAACGCAGAAACAAAAGCAGGATGTTAACCAGGCACAGCTTGTAGGGTACTTTCAGCAGAAGGAAAAGCAACCACCTCCAAAGCTGTTTGCTCTCGATTCTGCAGGTTTGCTTGCAACAAAACCCCACCGCTGCAGCAATAAGCTCTACTGAGAGCTCTCCGGTTCACAGGCACTGCTCAGCTCAGAAAACTGCAGAAGGGAGCTTCCTTTGAGCCAAAATGCCAGGACCAAGCACCAGCCTCACGGGTGGCAGCGCAGCAGAGGACAAACAGAGAAAGCAGCAAGACACGCTGCCCCAACCCGACCAGAGCAAGCTCACAGCTTCCCAACTCAGGGACAAACCCTCAGCCCTGAGAGCACAGGGCCTCTCAGCGCCCCGCACCAGCTGTATCCCACGTCCACCCCGCAGACCCACCTGGCCTTGCCCGCAAACATGCCGCCTGCTCCGCGCACAGCAAAGCAGCGCCGCACGCCGATCCGCCACCGCCACGTGCGCCTTTCCCGCCGGAGCGCCGCTTTCACACATCAGCAGCCAATCACAGCACGGCCCCGCCCTCTGCTGGCAGGGCGGAAGGCGGACCCGGCCCTGGCTCGGCCCTGGGAGACGCGAGTTCGAGACCCGGCGTCGGCCAATGCCTCGCGTCTGGGCGAGGTCCGCTCCGCCCCGCTGCTCTTCCGGCCGCCCAGAGGGAGGGCAGAGGGTATCGTCATGCAGAGAGTAGGG